AGATTTTTATCGCGGCGAATCCGCATGAGTAGACGAGTAGGTAAGAATCATGAATACCAAGTTAGTGTGTGCGGGTTCAAATCTTAATGCCGTAGGGTATATTTTGGTCGTAATTATAATAAGTGCTTAATCGAGGAAGACATAACACTTATTGATTGGGCAGAAACACTCACTAAGCTGCGGCTGCTTCTCTGTCACTTCCTGTTTCCTCACCTCTTCCCAACAGTCGCCGTATTATACGAATGCGGGACAACCCACGAGTGATTGGTGATATAATAAAAAAAAAGATGACCTTAGAATGTATTTGGAGATACAGGAACAAATCTATCATTTTTGTCAATTACCATGTTTTCGAATCGAAACTAGATATGAGCATCTACTTCGGATTAATGAATTCTAAGCTGGTGCCAGAGACTATTTTGTTGGCAAGGGTAAATTCTTGCAGAAGGGTTCTTTGGAATTACTTTGTAGCAAGAACTGAGTAGCAACAATTTGTTTTAAGCCAAAGCGAGGGATGTGAACGCGGTCAGTGAGGAAAGAACAGTTATACAGGGAGGGAGGAGCAAAAAGAAGAAGGATGGGCAGTAGCGATAGTGAGAAAGAGGGAACAAGAGAGACCGAGAGAAAGAGGGCTGTCAAAGGAGAGAGATAAAGACTGAGAACGAGGGAGAGGAAAGATATAACGAAATAGAAGAAAGGCCAAGTTAAAATGAAAAAAGAAACTATGAAGGGAGACAGGTAGGAAAAGTGTATGAAATTCTTTTCTCGATGAAGCGCTTATGATCAAAGCTAACATTCCAAATTTTTTATTAAAAGATTATATTAGAAAAACTGAAGAGTTCGAGCGGAGACAGAGAGCGAAAGAGTGAGACAGGACATGGAATTTTTTCTTTCTTAATCTTTGTTTAATAAATCAATTCACGTAACCATTTTATGTACATCACAACTGCATATTAAGCAACAAATTTGGTACTATATGTGCGTGTTTAGTTAAAAATTGCACTTTTAACTCTACAAATAGCTTCCGGTATTATTTACAAATATACATCACAACAAAACAAGGAAAAAAGCGAACGTCATTGAATTGATTAAAGGAAATGCCCACCGCGCGGGATTTTAAGAATAATTCTTTAAGACACGGCAAAGTTTTGCAATTCTGAGAAAAAGCAAAGTTTTCAAGCGAAAAAATTGCATGCATACGTAGAGGCTTTGTTTTTTCGAAAGAATAAAAGAGAAAAGGATTGAAAAGAGAAATTACAATCATTAGAATAAAGGAAAAAAATAAAATAAAAAATTATTTGTAAATTGCATGTTTTGCATGTTCAAAAAGGCATGTTCACCGACACACTCTCGCACACAAATATAATATCGTACATAAAGAGGAAAAAATGGGAGATTCGTAGGACTGTTATAATCGCTTTAATGCGATGTTCGGCTACCCACCACATGCAGCGTATGTACAATGTGGACTCGTAAGTACCGTTACTCTATCTTCGAGCTGGAAAGCAAACACCCTTCACTGACGTTCAGCTAAACACGCATGACAATTGCAGATGCAGAAGTCGACTTGTAGCGTCTTGAATGACAACACATTCATCCTATATAATAATTGCACACATCACCTGTTAATTCTTAGTGGGCAGATTGGTTCATAAAACGTCCATTTTCTAGCAAATATTTATTAAATATTTTTTAATATTTAAGCCGAAATCGATGTCAATGTTTTTCCATTTGTTAATAGTGATCTTTTGAAATTTTCCTCCCCTTCAGACTTTAGTGACCTTCTGAAGTGAAGTTCGTTTTTTGGTCGACGCGATCCAGTTTCTTGGTTGGAGGTTTTCATGTTAAAACGTATAGAAGAATTCAATTGAATTTAGTTTCTAAAAGAGAAAGTAATTGAAAAGATTCCGCCAACAATTGATGAACCTATGAATTAGCCGACCTGACTTAAACTGCTCGTATCCTTACGCTAATCAAGAATATAAGAAAGTTATGCGGAGTTTTTGGTTCTATTCCTTATTTTATGGCTCTTACAATATGAACGAATATTCTCTACTCTTCTAATATGAGGAATATATGATACAAATTGCAGTTATCCGAGTCGAGACGAAGAAGACGAGATAAAAATAGCAAGAATATTACTAGTATTACTAGCCCTGCCGTCCATGCATACATGTCTCACTTATATATTGAAAAAGCGCTTCTCAGATCCCTAAATGTATGGACAACATGCCAAAAGAATACGAAAGCTTCACTTTAAGATTAATTGGTTTGCGAAATTAAGTTGGGGGCATTTTGATTTTCAATCTAAACCAAGGTTTGCATCACAGGCTTTTAAAAACGCATATCTTTGATATCTTGACGTAAGCTTTTCAAATTTATTCCATTTTAGTTATGTCTGCCTGAGCATAAGCTGAAAGTATGCATTCTATTCTATGTATAATTTGTAAGGGTTCATCTGTACAGAGTTGTTATGCAACAAATACATAAACAAAGCGTAAATAAAATGAAAAACTGAGTGTATGTGCATCTATGTGAGTTAACATAACACATTAAATTTAAATGAGCATGAAAGCCATAAACAAAACAACATTCTTCTAGCTTACACAAAAACTAAACAACAGTTATTTACTACAAAAAAAAAAAAAAAAACAAAGAAAAAGGCAAAAGTAAAACAAAACAAACCAAGCTTTCTTACGTGCGTCTGTATACAGCGTAGAGTGAGAATGTGTTTATGAATGATATGAAATTTTATTAAATTACAAGACTTTATGCACAATAAAGGAGAAAAATTGCGAAATAAATATAAAAGCAAGTAATAAAGAAGAGATTAAGTAAAGAAAAAGCAAAAAAAAAAAATCGCATACACAACCAGCGACACCAACAACCAACAACTATCTCTCTAAGAAAAATGTTTATTCTGTTTAATACACATTTATATAAAACGCGAAGCAACAGTGCAATTACATAAAGAGATCTCTGCAACCGTAACATAAACTTGTATTAGAGTCATACAAATGTTTGGTTTAAAGCCAACCCAATTATCACCAAACCGCCACCGCATTTTTTTATTAACGTCTTTCTTTTTATTTGTCCCTTGCTTTACGTCATTTATAGCTCATTTTAAATAGTGTGATGTTATACAGCGACTCAGTCAGTCAGTCAGTCAGTCAGTCACTCAATCAGTTAGCTATGGGATTTTTTATGTAATTTTTCTTTTTTGTTTTTATATATTTAAGTTTGTGAAAGCGTCGCATTTTTCTAGTCCAGCAATCACTGCATTAATGATCACGTACAGTATGCATTAAAATTCCAATGCTTGCATACATTTCCTTGAGTGCTTCCATTACCATCGTCATCATCATCGTCTTTGTTGCCATTACTATTATTATTATTATTATTATTGTTATTATTGTTATTATTGTTATTTTTGCTATTGCTGTTTATATTATAGTTCGAGTTAAGTTTTTTCATGACCTAGCTTTTGCTTATTTCTGCTTATATTATCCTATTCTTTCATTCCACTGCTATTGTCTTACTTGAAGAATAAAACTCTTTTTAAATTTCTTTGTTATTCTTACGTATATTAAATGTTTATTTCTTTTCTTTTCTATCATTTTTTTCTTTGTCTCTTTGCATTTCATTCACTTAGAAATGTTGTGTTTTTTTTAGAAATGAAATTTAATAAAAAATTCTTTATATCTATGATGATGCACTTATCCTAATAATTGTTATTCTACGTTAAGGAAGCGTTTACAAATCAATGCCTATAAGTCGCACATATAAAATTCGCTATGATGGTTGACACTAGCACATATGATAGTCCATTCTAATCATATTATTGTAACGTTATGAACTACGTAGACTAATTTCACTGTTTCAAGTGGACATCACATCCGTAAATTTATTCCAGACCGTGTAATCGATTTTGAAAAAAAAAATTCGTTTTTAAATTTGTAAACTTTACCACAATTTACTCATTTCTAAGGCTTTGCTAAGACAGAGAGTGGAATGAATAGATCATAAGGAATGAAACGTAACGAGCCAAAGTGGAATGTACCTAAGCAAAAAGTCCGAATTTTGAAAAATATTAAGCCTTCTGCTCACATGATATATGACCAATTCGCTCGAGTTTCATTTGGCATTCACTACTTGTAGCTAACAGACGTGTAAAATTTAAACACTTTGAACGCCAAATCCGTGCTCAAGGATGAAATGGACTTTTTTTGTGAAATCGGTTGTCTCTTCAATAAGCTAATATGTACGATCCCAATTTTGCTGCCATTAACTTTTTGATAATCATTCCTTACTTTCCCCGAAAGGTGATTAGGGAGCCGCCATTAAGAAGCTGAACTCCGTCTTTGCTATAGCACACAGAGCGCGTCCGGGATTACCCAATAAATCACTTTACCCTAATCACTTTTATATTAAGCTTACTTTTACAGATTTATACGGAGGATTATACGAAGAGTTAAGAGTGGTAGCGCATTTAAGGATTTTATGCAGCGCTTGGCAAGCTTCCACATCATTTTTCCTTAGATCTCTCTTATTCAAGCAGAGATTTTATTAGAAAATAAGAAAATAAGGAAGCAGCACGTCTTCCATTAAGCCGAATGTTGACCAACTCTATTAAGTCAAGAAATAAATTTAGTTGTTGCCTTATGGGATAAAGCTTAGCTGAAGAGATAAGACCCGCGACTGTCGGTGGTCGGAGGTTTAAATCTCAATGCGTTAGGCCATACTTTGTAAATAGCTATGTACGAAGTTAACATAGATGTATGTTCGCTTGTTAATATCCTTAGCCTGAAAATATTGTATACTCCATGCAGTAATGAAAATAAAGAATTCCTGGATATGTGCATTAATACAACGATTTCGGTCTCACACTTACACTAAGTTTAGATTAAAGTTTCTTACCTAATTTAGGTTTACTATATGAGATGAAGTCTCTGTCTCTGTGCAGATTGATTACATATAACATCCTTTGATTGCTCCTAACACCATGGCTTGGAAACTTCATACATATTGATGGTAGGTTTCGCCTTTCGATCGTTCCTAAAATCCACTTACAAAACGAACAAAAAAATCGTATTTTGCTTCCTCCATCACGTGGATAAAACGTAGACGCTGTTTTTAAAGCGTAGCAAATCCAATGAAAAAACCTTACGCAACATCTAATGCGATTCAAAATTCAATGAAATATGTTTGCTTGCTAGTAAAGGAACTATTTCAAGCTCGCTCCAACAATCCGGAGAAGATTGGGTGGAATATTTCTTATGCGAAATTTCAGTTAGGGATCTTCTTTCTTCCTGGTTTATAGGGACATGTCGAACAAGAATTCACACGATCGCCAATGCTGATATCTTAAAGAAAGAAAGGATTAAGCCCTGCTTCGTTCTTCGGGTTCCGGGTACGCTACCGAGCAGACGTATGCTCTAGTTCGACTGTGTCTGACTTTTGATTACCGGAGAACAAAACTAATTTAATGTCATAACCTAAAAAAAAAGTGGGAGCTTATCCGTAAGCAAATTGATCATCGTTCAGAATAAATACAATGAGTTTGTTGAAATGATAATTGAGAACAAAGAAATCGAATAGAAAATGAAATAAATATCGTGGTTGATGCAATCGTTGTTGTGTGGGTTAATAAAGTGTACCCATGTTGCGAATATTATAGCTGTGTAAATCTACTTGCCGCTGAAGTGTAACAATGAAATGGCGTGGCCTTTAAAAGTATCTGAATGAAATGACGTGACCTTTAAAAATATCTGAGTGAAATGTAGGTTTGTTCCCACTCCACTGGAGTTCCAAAACGAAACTTATTTTTGGGGACGATTTTTGTGGAACATATCCCAGCAAAGATCGGGTATCATAAGATACGTGCTTTGATTAGCGTGAAACGCTGAGTCAATTAAATCACATTGGTCTTTACTTCTGTCCGTCCGTCATTCATGTGAAACTTGCCCTATTGCGTTAGGAAGTTATACTGCGGAATGTACACTTTAAAATTCTTGACATAAATTAATTTTGAAAGTTGACCTGATTCCCTCATAAGCATTTTCTCGGGGAACGCTAAACATGTATCTACGTTTGATTAATGTGAGTCTGAACTTGGGCCGAATTTTTAAAATTTTTGTAACAGAAAAAAATAAGAAAAACTATGAAAAAATCCCATTTGCATTCTTCTCTCTCGATTTCTAATTTCGAATCTAATATTATACTTTGACAACGTCTTTAGTACCTTTGCCCAAAAAAAAGAAAACCGAAGTGAAACCAAATTGATCAGCTTGTGGTGGTGCTTGTCAATTAGATTCATTAGTACCGTGACCGCATAACGGTTTGACTTTGGCATTGACTTTGTGTAAAGGAGAATTTATTTAATATTCAGACTCACTTTCACACATACAATGTGTGTGATATAATGGAAACGCTTCATGTACGATGCATGTAAGCACAATTTGCCTTGAGTATAATTCAGTGAGTATTTTTTTTTTATTTTTTTTATTTTTTTTTTTTTGATTTTATTTTTCTCATCCATCATTTTCATGCATATCTCACCTGACAATTGCTTTTGATATTCGCCCCGAAAGAGATAGAGAAGCAAAAAGTTCATTTTCCGCCTCATCCCAGTTTGCATTAAGCTTTTCGACAATTTCCTTTGTGATGGGGACGGTGCGGTGCGCTTTTTCTTTTTTCCTCTTCTTCTTCTTTCTTTATATCTGCATTTCCTTTACAGTCAGATATTATTGGTTGGTTTTGTTGATCTCGTGCAGTTTGTTGAAGTTGCGGTTTGATTCGTTATTTTTTCTGCTTATATCTCTATACAATTACCTCGTTCTTGAATTTGACTGGAGGAGAGGCAAGAAAGAAAAGAAAATTTCCAAATCATGTTATAAATTGGTATCTCTACCTCTATCATCACATAGTTGTCAGGTTGTTGTTTCCTTTTTTCCCAATTTGACTGTTTTATTATGTTCATATTGAACTTGCGTGTCTGCATTGATTAGCGAGACATGAATAAGCTGTTTTTTTTTATTTATTTTTTTTTTATTTTTCGTTTTTTCCGCTGAGATCTTCTTTTCCTCCCGTTCGTTGATGTTTGCGGAATGGCTGTGAATGCAAACAACTGTCGCATTATATACAGATTTTTTTTTTTTTTTTTTTTTTTACTTTTGGAGGATAGAAGCTATTGCAAAATTTGGTTTACGTTATTTTACTGTCTGCACACATAGTAAATAACTTTATATGCTCAGTCATCATCAAAAAAAAAAAAATAAAAAATAAATGTTGGTATATTTGTTTTGTCATTCTTTTAGTAACGCGACCAGAAGGACGTATTGGAGAATTTGTAAAGTATTGCTGTTCTCTTTATGAGAGATTTCGTATTGATTTAAGCAATCATCATTAAAATTCACCTTTAAATTGGTTCAAAAGATGAAGTTGGAAAGTAAACGGAATTTATTCCTGAAAACATCTTTAACAATAAGTTGAGAGTTCTGAAATTTTGAGTTGAGTTCGTTCTGAAATTTTCAATGGGTAAACTGATGCAAATCACATGACCTCCATTCGGATTTCTTAACAAATCCATGGATCTCTTTAGTGTTAGTACAGAAATTCTTCAAGGCTATTAATAAATGCTTCCCCCAGGGAAGTTTCCCGTTGTGTTGCAAGAGTAACTCACAAGTGAATATGGTTGTTATTATTAGCATTATTGATTTAGGCAAACCAATAAATTCCAAGACTAAAGTATGAAAGCCCTAGCATTTAAAGGCTGGCGGTTTTATTGAAAACTATATACCGCAATTGAGATTTGGAACCCACGACCATTCAGTTATTAGACGTGATCCTTTTCTTACTTGTTTTCTTCCGAGTTTGAATACCTGGTACATCTAAAATGCTTTGTTGCCTAATAATAAACACCTAATAATTGATCGGTTCTTCTACTCTTAAGGTAAGCTTGCAGCAGTAATTTTCCTCTCGATTCTAGTACGGCATGCTTTGGATAGAGTCTGAACGCATGCAGGGATTACACGACGATTATTTACTCCATGTCTGTTACCTGCAAAAATTATTTATAGCTTCCCTTTCTTGTAGCCATATAATCTTTACTCTCGTAAGAAGAACTTTCCTTATTAGAACGTGAAGTGAAACGTCCGATAAGTGTGCTTGCAAAGGGAATAAGAAAAAAGCAACTTTTGATATTCATCTACTTAACAGATCCTGGGAATACTACAGGAGTTTGACATCTAAACCAGACCTAGAATGGTGCAATGACGAGAAATTATTGAGAACTGTCCAGGAATTCGGACGCAAAGTTAGACGTTACCTGTTCGCGATAGTTTTTCTATCAGCTTGATGATCTTCTGTTTGCGAGTGTTTTACAAGCTGTAAAAAAAAAGAAGAAAAAACCGACTTAGACCATTTTAAAATTGATCAGTTCATATCTTTTCAACAACAATCTTAATCCATTGCATACATTCACATATAATTTATTAGGCGGGAACACATTTCAGATCCATAAATGTTTTAGAGCGTTACATCGATCGACGCTTATATAATTAATAAGCAACTTGATGATGACGGTGATGGATATTCATGATTCGTCTTATAGTGAATAACTTATGCATGTCAGAATGTTTTCTGTTTTGTATTTTGCTCTCTTTTTCCGCACTTGTGTATGTCAAATGCAAATACATGGTGTTTTTTATGCAACAAGAATGATGGTAATATTTACTAAACTCATCACCCATAGAATTTGTCAAATTACGCACACATATACATAAACATATACATAGTATATCTCGTTCCTAATTTCTTCTCTGCACCAGATTCACATGTGAAATTCAAATTTTTACTTGTTCGTTATTATGCTGCTGTTGCTGTTAAGTCAGTACAAAAAGAAAACAAAAACAAAATATAAAGAAAAAATGTTTTCCTTATAGCATCGTCAAGCTATACATCGTCATTATCGTCATTATCGCCATCATCATCATCATCATCATCATCATCATCATCATCAACGCCGTCAGTATCATGGTATGTATAGAATCGAGTAAACTAGAGTAAAAGCATTGAAAAGAGAAAAAACTTTGAATCTTCTTCTCTTATCATTTTAGTAATTTTTCCTAAATCATAGTGACTTTGTGAAAAATCTTCTAAAATGCAAAGCAGTAAAATGGCACTACTTTGTATGGCTATAGTGCACTACAGCTTAAGCGTTGGTATTTTGATATGGTTCGCTTTTAAAGTGCATGTGTAAGTGTGCTATAAGTATGTATATATATATGCATGCATGTTTGTATGTATGTTTGTCTTTTGTACAGTTTATGGATCTCATTAATTTAATTGAATGACATTCATAGTTATAAAATCTTCATTATAATGGGTTTTCGTTTCTTCTTTTCTCTCTCTCGCTCTCTTTTTTTTTTTACTTTCTTGCTTTCTTTTTTTTTTTTGTTTCTTTTACTATATTGATGATGATACTGTGATTTTTCAAAATCATTCCACTAAACCATGAATTTTATGAATCCGAATAATATACATACTAAAGAAGGGAAAATGGCTTTGAAATTCTGCTAAAAGTTATAAAATTCAATTTGAACTCAATATAGAGTACGCTCAACTGCCCTTAGATAAGTATGGTGGTTAGACTTTTGAAGATTTTCTCTTAAAATGGCTTTACTTTGAAAGTCTGATGGCATGTAATAAGTTCGATTATGACTATTGATATTTGCCTTTTAACATTGAAGCCATCCATAGTCGTCGTCTATCCTTTTAAATTTAAAACTAAAAAAAAGTTTCAATAGTTAGCTTAGCAATAGTACTCACAACACTTAAATATCGTGCATTTGTAGTGGAACGGGATGACATTTCATTGCGAAAAATAAATGGCTTAATGATACCGATTATGAAGCACTTAGACATTTTAGCTGATCAGATATGTAATCATCTCGTGTAGGTTCGTTTGAAGCTCTTACTCTGCTTGCGTACCGTTGATCTTTGACTTAAAACCTTTGGTGTATCCTAAGCTCCCTTTGTTTTATTTCAGCTTTGGTTAAACATTTGGCAAACATTTACTTTCGAATGGCAACTTTAGCGGTTTCATTTCCACAATCGGATGATATCATAAAAGTAAATTATATGTATGCTTCTGTTGGTAAGACCAAAGGTGTCCTCACAAACACCAAAGGCATCCTTACGCTTACTTACGGTAAAGTTGACAGCTGAGTTAGGTATATCTGTTCGTCTTCCTAAGCAAATGCCAATGTAAACCGCCGTATGATGACCATGCTTGATCAACTGACCAATTATATTTTAAGTTCTTTCTAACTAAAATCAACGGATCATCATAAGGGTGGCATAAAAACCGGTTATCAATTATCGATCGAAAAAAGCGGTATTAAGTGAAAATACACACAATCTCTAGTGAACTCCTCTGGATGATAGCGTATCCAAGTTCAGAGCATCCAGTATCTGGTCAATTCGGATGGGTTGTAGGATGTCCAAATTCATTGTTTCCAACGTTTCCCGGTTGGATCCCGGAATATTGATAGTCGGACAAGACCTACACAACTTCATTTATTCAGTCAAATACCAGAAATTACACATCATTTTTATATAAATGTATAATTTTCATCAAAGCCCTGATGTTGAAGGATACTCAAAAGCCAACCTGGTCTAGATTTAGCAGACTTAATTGAATTATCAAACATTTTATTATTTTCCATGGTGGCTTCCGTCATAACAAACCATAAAGTAGATTTTGACTCTAGAGAAGGGTCTGTTTTCCTGAGAACATATATAGATCTATGTGATCCAAATTCCCTAAACTTGATTTACTAAGAATAAATTTTGATCATAAAATATGAGAAATTAGAATTTTTTTGGTAAATAAAAGTTTATTTTTCATTATATGGACTGGGATTCAAACAATAGACCTACGTGGTCCAAATTGGGTAAAGTTGCTTTTTATGTCAAATTATTATTGTAAACGAATTTTCATCACGAAATTTTCACCATATAAAAAATCATTTCAGCAATGGTTAAAAAAGTTGACCCATTCTTCCCAAGCTTTTCACTCCGCTTTAAAATGTTGAAATATATTCAAATATTCGGTACATAGCGCTTTATTGTGATGAGTTGTTACAAGAAAAAATATTGTAAGTTATAGGATTTCGCGACAAAAATCGCTTATGTTAAAATTTAGGGTCGAATTAGCATCGCATAGAGAGGAGTAGAAGTTTTGATATCCTTCGAAATGGTAGAATTCATGAAAATTTTGCATTTATATAAAAATAATGGGTAATTTTTAATGTATTATTGGGAGAACAAGTGAAAAAATCATAGTCGGCCTAGGTCGACCTTTAAATGCCATACACAATTTTTATTTTTGTCATCGAACACAAAAATTGTATCCTCTTTTTATATGAACTTATTATTATGGAACGGTATATTAGAAAGTAGACCTCTTTGCAAATAAAGGCTTACTCTCCGTAAGAATGATTGTGAATAAGGGGTTCAAAAATTGAGGTAGGTTCAAAATTCGGTAGAGTTACTTTTTATATCCAATGACTATTATGCATCAATTTTCATTGTTAAAATTTTGACTTTTCGACTTCTAAATATATAGAGTAGGGTCCAAAAACCAGGCCGAGATGGTCCAAATTTACAGTTAATTTTTTTTGTATCTTAAATTATTATTATAACCTGATTTTCATCGTGAAGCGTTGATAATATGAGCTTCAATTTTCGTTACATGAGAGACAATTCGAAAAATTGGCTTAGCCGGTCTAAAGTTTTCACAGCAATTTACAATCCGAGCATTAGTTTTATGGGCGTTGAGATAAGATGGCCAGACTAATGTTGTTAATCGACCGAAGAGTTCTTTAAGATTCGTTATCGATTTATCTATATCGCCTAGTAACAAATTATCTTTGCTCGTTTGTCTGTTTGTCTATCTGTAACTTTTTTCATTACTGACGGAATATTGGAATTGACATGGGCTATTCCCAATAAACGAATATAAAGCAAGCAGCCGCAGCAGACAACTCAGTCATCTTTTAAGCTAGTTGGTGCCAGCCACTTAGTTCTTTATGATTTAGTTCCACGAAATAAAGCAATAAAGCCATTCTGGCTTTTGCCTTTCTTCACGTGAGTTTTACAAATCCTTTTTGAAAGCAAACTTTACTAGAAGACAAAAATTCATTACAAGTTTATTTTAAACGAAAACACTTTTCTTTATCTCTTATTAAATTTGGTGCACTTTACTTACCTGCATCAAGAGAACAAAACAAAAAGTAATAATAAATAGCAAATGCTAAACGTTACTTACTTTGGTTTCTCGTCAACTTTTCTTTTCTTTTTTTTTTATTTTTTTTCGCTATCCATTCTGTATATATATATATATCTGTATTCTTCTTTGCCCTGATCCCGTCAGATTAATCCAATGGATAATTAATGGTTTCTATATTGTTTCTAACTTAGTGTGAAATGGTTTGTTAAGCTAAAGGGCGTACTTATATACATAACAAAGTATTCGGGAGAAAAGAAAAAATCTTTTTAGATGAAAATTCATTTCATTTACAGAGAATTTGAAGAGAAAAACATCAAAAACAATTTACTGTAATTGTTTTCGTATTTCATTTTTTTTTCTTGATTTTTTTCTGTATGTTTTATAAAAAGATTAATTCCTTAAATTGTCTGTGAAAAAGAAGCAAAAAGATACCAAATTGCTTTTATTCTTTCATTCTATTCCATTTTCTGAGTTTCGAAATGAATAAATATTGTAGAGTAATGCGAATTTGCTTATTCGTCCGTTTAACGTTTATAGCGGTATAAAGCAAAGAAACACCTGTACTTGCATCGTTGGCACTGATGCCGGCAAAGTAAAGGGAAAAGCATATTGCTCTCTATAAAATTGTGTACCAAAGACAATAGAATTAATTTACTGTCACTATTGAGTTTTTTCACATTTTTCACATTCAATTTATTTTGCCAGATGTATTTTGTTGTGCTCGTTTCTTTCCTTTTTTTTTTTTTTCAATTACTACATAAATATATATATATATATATATATATATATATACATGTATGTATACCATCGTATTAACATTACTTGATAGAGTAAAAAAGCTCAACACTTTAAACCTATCCTAACCTAAATCTATTCACTTGTTTTTATAGCATATCATGTCACAATGGGACTCTTTAGTCACTTATGAGAATCATGGGAATAATTAAAACGTTATTGCCTTTGTTTATGATTTAAATTCATTAATTCCATTATGCACAAGCCGTAATTTTGTTTCGGAATATAAAAAATAACAAGTAAATAGAGCATAATAGGCCGCGGTTCAGGATAAAATATATTACACAATCCTACAGATA